TCATATACTGCAATTATGAACACGCAACAGAAGGGAGCAGACAAGACGTCTACTGGTTGCAAGTGAAAAGGGCAATATTGTTTTTTCGCCACAAATTTTGTCGGGTTCCGAATTGTGCCACTTCCAAGGGCAACAGCAGCTTGACCAGTATCAGTATTTTGCATGGACAGGTTCAGCAATGCTTGAGGAAACACCCTCAGGGCTAAACTTTTGCAAAAGGGCTCCGCTCGTAACATACCCTGGCGCATCCATCCATTCTAGTACGTTTACGCATGATCGCATCGCTCGTATAATTTTGGTAGGGTTTTGTCAGTGTGATAATTGTACTGAAAACATATAAGCTAACGGATTGGGAAACAGACCAGAAGATTAAGAAGCGCGAGATTGTTAGCTGCCGCACCGGCCACTTTACTCTCCTTGTTGTTGAATGACATCAGCACCTCAATCAAATGCAATTACTTAACCACACTATGTAATCAAAATTCAGGAAAATGCGAAAAATTTATCGCTTTGACTTGGTCCAATTTCGTTTTCAGTTAATCCCAGCGCTTCTTCTTGACAGTTTTTTTCATGATATTTATTGCAAAATTGAATTTAAATCCAGAAAATCTTTTCTAAAATTTAATTGGATGAAATACCTATAGAGTAATTCTAAAACTTTGTTAATCTCACCTGTGATGCAGTTTCCAGATCACCTTGCCGAAGCAGTGCAACTGCTTTACTCATCTCAATTTCCATGGCTAATGGAGAGTATAAAGACTGCCGTATCGCTTCCACGCACCACTCATAGCCCTCCGAAAACCTGATTTGTACAAATAGAAAAAGTATGCCAATAAAACTGAGTCCATGAAAAAGGTAACTCTCAATAACTATTAAATTTTTCGGCTGTTGCAAAGCTCTTGTAATAAAATGTGCTGAGGAGTTGTTTTTTCCAACGCCCTTTTGCTAAGATAAATTTAAAAAAATGTATTAAACTTTATGCCAATACCAATTAGATTTTGATTTTTTATCTACATTTTATGCCGGGAAACTGAAATATTTTGCCAAATGAAATGTACTTGGGATCTCCTTGTAACCATATTGTTCTGTTACGAAAATCACTGGTTGGAAACCAATGCGTTTTATGTAACAGTAAGCCTAGGAAGAGAAAGACCGAACGGAACCCTTGCAAAGGTACTATGCGGAAGCGATAAGAGCAGACTGGAAACAGGCAAACTAGAAGCTTTTCTCGGACCGCGTTTCTATAACATCGAGAGATTCATAGAGGAAAAGGTAGAAGGATGTTAGTACAGCTGCTTTCTGGACGAGGCCAGCCGTAAGCTGTTCCAAGGTGACAACTTACGTTGGAGCGATAGCAGAAGAAATAATTCTGGCTGCAACAAAAATAGTTTTCTCG